GCAAGGGAGAAGAACCGTGGGAGATAAGAGGGAAAGTGCAGACAGTTCTGGGAAGAACGTTTTTGGCCCTACTGAATGCTACTTTCATTCATATCCAGAGCAGGTTAATCAAATTATGCCTCCAAAAATCTTCATCTGTGGTAGCATTTTTTTGATTAACTTTATACTCATAAAATCTTGAGGCTCATTAATAATAAAGTAATATTGGGTAGCCTTTGGCTATATTCATATACCAAGGCCTGATTTTGTTTTTCTCACATCTATTTGAGAAGAGCACTATGGTTTCAAATTTCTAAAATATTTACTGAAGAACTATAGTTTCTAAAATGTTTAAATATTTGCAAAATTTTCCCCTTCACTTTCCTTATGCTGGGAACAGAAAACAAGTCTCCAGACATGGTCTGGTCAGTGTAGGGCAGAGAGGAATGGATATGACCTCCTGGTGTGCACTTGTCTATGTTACTGCAGTCGATGCTTGCATTTGCTTTTTTTGGCAATCAAGTGACACCCAACCTTTAATCTAATCCCCTAGGTCTTTTTTATCATGAAGTCTTAAGAAGGAAGACAAATGGAAACAATCGCCTTAACCAAAGTCAGGGTAGAATTACTGGCAAGCATCAACACAGTACCTCAGACTTGCAGACTTGCTTATGGGCATCTTGCAGGTCATTCCTCCCTTGCAGCCACAGGAAGTGGAGGGCATCAGGTCACCCACTCAAGGGAAGGCTGCACAGAGGGTCTTGAGACTCATCCACTCAGATTCACACAGGGGCTTCAAAGGGTGCTAGGGTCTTCGCTTTTTGCATAATTTCTACCTTATGCATAATGTGTCTTTTTGTTTGTTTTGTTTTGTTTCTTACTTTCAAGTGACTAAAAGAAATAAGCATAGAATAAGGAAACAAGAAACTCTCTTAATAGGCTCAGTGACCCAAATGACTCTGCTAAAAGAAGTTTACAGAGCAGCAGTTAACCAAAATTGATTGGTTCATGAAAAAAAAAATCAGCATGTGACTTTTCACCACATTTACCCCAATGATTCACTAAAGAAATCAGCAGCCCGTTTTGCTCTGAAATCCTGAACCTGGTAAAATCCCAAGATGCCCATAAAGGAAGAGGAGACCACATTGCTTCTGATGTGTTTTTCTATTAGCTCATGTGTGTTTCCTGAGGACCACACATGTCTGTGCCTTGTACCCTTGGAACCTCCATAAGTTGGAGTCTCTGCCCGGCATCTGCGACTGGTCTCTGCTCATTCATGTCAACAGTGAGGCTCCCTTTCTTGCTTTTCCTTTAAAAATTCTTTGTATTTCACATTTTTATTTCAAACATTACAGGGAATTTCAGTAACTATCGAATGCCTATTTTGTGTTAGTCAGTGGGTTAATAGTTTTATATACATTATCTCTTTTGATTTATACAATATCAAATTGATATCATTATCCCCATTTTAGAGATAAGGAAACTGAGGCCTAGAGTAACCTCACTGACATTTTATAAGCTAGTGTATTGAGTCACATGGATTCAACCCATAATAGTCTGGTCCAAAGGGCAAAGTTTTTTCACTACAACATAACCATTTCTGTACTTATAAAGTACGTAAGTACCCTGTACCCTTAGGAAACATCTTGTATGTTGTTCCAAAGGAAGACAAAGTCTATAAAGTGTTTGTCCTTGAGAAAGCAAGTTCAAACAAAAGAGAAAGGAAAACAAGTTAATGTGCAGAAAGAAATGTATGGCTGTAGACTCCCTGCTTATCAATGGGTACCACCCTAATTTGTATCGCTGTATAGCCTCTTGTACTCTAAAATCCACTCCATCATCCACCCCTCCAAATATTCTACCCATTGATGTTTGAAATGTTTGAATCATACCTGTCACTCACAAACTGAATTAAATCCAATTTTATTCTCACTGTGACTTTAAGAGAATGAATAAATATGTAAAGTATCCTTGATGTTTAGTTGGTCCATAAGCTGAACACAACCTCAACCCTCACCTGCATTTTATTGGCCTGTGCTGTGTTGGTTCCCATCATACTCTTTTTATTCTTTTTAGAATTTTAAATCCATTGTCAAGATTAAAAATTTGGGAAGTTTTACGTGACCCACTTTTTTGACATTCATAAAAAGCATTATTACTTGTTACTAATGAATATCACTGTTTCCTTTAGCCAAAAAAAAAAAAAAATATTTTCTACCAGTTTTCTTCTCTCCCTCTCTCTTTTTCTCTTTCTCTCCCTCCCCCCATCTCTCTCCCTCTGACAATGAAGGTATATGTCAGGTTCCATTTGTTATCGAAACCAAAGCTGGCTTCACTTGTTTTTATTACTCATCTGGCCCCTGTAAGAATTTGAGTTTGTATCTAAAAAAAATGTATTTTTGGTATTGTGCCTTGCATTATCAAATTAAATATGATTTTTTTTATCTGTTACTTGGAAGAGATTTTTATTCTTCGAGAGCTATTTGTATATCCCAACGCTTTGACACAGGACATCAAATTGATGCAGACAAGATGCCATAGTGGGTAAGGGAGACAGTAGTTAGCATTGATAGACTACAGAATCTACCATTTTCACCTTGAAAATAAAAATGGAGAGAAACAAAATCCTAGAGCAATATAGTTTCTTCAGGATTACATATGGGTTTGTCTTTATTCGACTTTGATTACTTGGAATTTACTTGAAATCTCTGCTTGAAAAGATATTGAATTATGAAGACTCAAATTTTATTCTGTGTCTTTGTAACATTCATAGATGTTCTTTCAAACAGAAACAAAAAGTCCTGATCCTTTGAATGGCCTCTAAATACAGGTACTCAAATAACAGAAAATGGATAGTGCATTTCTTTACCTTTTTGGTTACTTGACCTGAAAGGTATGTGTGCAGGTGACTATTTTATTTATTTATAACCAAGATGAATTGACATGTTTTTCTCCAAATCTCATGAGTTGGAGGCCAAACATTAACATTTAATTTTCTACAATGTTCTTTGTAGTATGAGATCTCCAATATAGAATTATAGAATTATAACTGGATGCATAAAAAGATGGATTGACTTGCCTAAGACCACAGAGGTTTTAGGGACAAAGATAAGAACTAAAATGAGTGTTGCCACTGCCATTTTTGAGCATTTACCATAGATCAGGCACCATGCTAAGTGACTGTATGATATCATTTAATTCTCTCAGTAACTCTGTGTTATAGGCTTTATCTCCATTTTAAAATTGAGGATACTGGGGAATCTCAGAAATAAAATGATTTGCCCAACCTAACACAGCTAGGAACTCGGGACTTGGGATTCCAGAACAAATATGTGTGTTTCTGAAGCTAAGTCCTTAACGCATCACATCACACTACTCCTGCCATGCCTCCCCAGTTAAGAATTTGGGATATTATTTTCTGGTCTCTAAACTCAGAGCTGTAAATGGTATGTAAATGATGATGAAATGTAACATTGATTTTGAGTGTGTGTTGAGTGTTTTATTGATTTCTTTGTGACTACAGAGAGAGAACCAATATGAATCTGCTCCTTTGTGTTCTTGTTATAAAATTGCTACATTATATACTTTGCCCTGAATATTGGCCAATTCCCGTGCACCAGCAAGGTGATCCATCCTGTCCTTAACTAAGGCTGTGGTGGGTGGGGAGTCCCACTCTGTGCAGTTTTCAGACTACCTCATATGACTCAGTTCAGCTCATCATTTAAAGTTGGTAGCACACCTGATGGATGGAGCATGGAAATGAAAATGTCCCATCATTTTTTCTAGCAGGCCACCTGATGTTTGGATGAGTTAAATGGAGCAAGAAAACAAAGCAAAGTTCACCTTGCACACTTAAAAAGGCTTTGAAAAAATGTGGTTACTATTTCAAGACTTGCTGTAATATAACGTATTTTGTATTCCCCACCCCCGGGCTTCTTTCAGAAATTTCAGTCTTTTATTAGTCATGAGTTTCAAATTATCATGTCAGAAAGAAATGTTAGCACATAATATAGAGGCTTCTTCAAAGCATACAAATATATTTATATTTGTTAAGTTTAGACATGGCTATTTTTGGCATGCTTGTTAAATTTAGACATGGGGTAGATACCATGTATGTGATCAAGGGCCTGCCTCTTGTGCCCTGTGAGCTTAGACAAAATATCTGATATCTATCTTAGACTCAGTTTCCTCATCTGTGAATGAAAATAATAATACCCACTGCACAAGAGTGTTGTGTAGGAAAAAATATCCTTATCCCCTAGTATATTTCTGGCTCAGAATAGTTATTCATTCAATACAGGTTTCTTCTCTACACTTTTCTTCTCTCAGTTGAATGATATTCCTTACCATGAGTCCGAAAACACAGCTTTAAAAAAGGGAAAAACAATAGCTTCACCCTATTTATTTTTAATTTTTTTTGCCAAAGGGTGACTAGTTATCTATTTGCATAATTAACAAAGACAGTCATTAACTCCCAAGATCTTTAAAATATAGAGCAAAATGAAAAGCAACAAACAGGTAACTCTAAAGACTTGTTTTACCTAGAGTTAAAATGTGATAAGAAACATCCCAAGCTGATTAAAACCTGTAGGCAAGTGGCTGGAACAAGTACTGGGAGTGATTTCAAGTGAGATTTGTGGTGCCCATTTCAAGTTAGTTACTGAGATAGCCAATCTCTGTGGAAAGAGAGCTGATGTTTAATGTTACATCAACAAGGCATTGGGCAGGTGGGGTGCGTCAGCTACAACAAGCAATAGCAAGCTCTGTAAATTACCTGTGTTTCCGGAAAGACAGGGAAAATGTAAATTCCACTGGTTTTTGGAAGGTGGCCAAGGGTTTTGTAATTGGCATTCCAGTTTTTTGCATATGCTTATGAGATGAAAAGCCTTCTGGTTCCCCTCCCTGGCCTCACACCCTGCTGCTGCAACCACCCAAATCACCTTTGAAAAGAGGAGTCTTGGTAAAAGAGCCCCTATGTTACCCACATTTTCTCTCTCTTTTCTTAAATTTATGTTTTGCAGGACAAATGATACTGGCTTTCTTTCCTTCAAAGACCACTTGCCTGTCACTCAGATAGTTATCACTGATACCAACAGATCAAACTCAGAAGCTGCTTGGAGAATTGGTCCCTTGCGTTGCTATGGAGACCGTGAGTACTAAATCGAAAGAAGCTTTCTCTCTTCATTACATAAGCACAAGATGTTTATTCCCTATTCCTTTTCCCTGCAATGTCCTTCAGTCTTGAAAATTATTCACATGCCCAGTGATTTTCTACATCCCATTCTAAAACAATGAACCATGCTTAAGGGTTTTTTCATTTGCAGGGTACTTCTGGAATGCGGTGTCATTTTATACAGAAGCCTCTTACCTCCACTTTCCTACTTTCCATGCGGAGTTCAGTGCTGATATTTCCTTCTTTTTTAAAACCACGGCTCTATCGGGAGTTTTCCTAGAAAACCTTGGCATGAAAGACTTCATCCGACTTGAAATTAGCTGTAAGTGCCCTCACTTATGAATTTAACATAATGTCAACGGAAGTCCGGGTCTTATCTTTGCCACAAACAACTAATACATGTTGATACTATCAACTATTAATGCCTCTGGAAATCTGTAAAATTAGTCATGATAATTTCTAGTTCCTTCTAATGCTTTTTGTTTTATCATTGCCTATCTGTATTTAATCGTTCTTCCTTCAAAATGGTGCATTCTTCAAATTCTCATAGATATCTATTACAGTGTGCTTTATCTGTCCGCGGGTAGGGCTTACCTTTGACTTTTAAGCTTCCACACCCCAGAACTTTTTCACTTCAATCTCCATGGAAAGCTTAATGTATTATTATTATGCATTCTATTCATATTTAGGATCTACTTTTTGTTGTACTTTTGCTCTGAAAGTAACTTCCTGTTTTATTTCCCACCATTAGGAGTGTGTGACTACAGAATTTCCATTGTTTTTCAACTACTTCACTATAAGCAGCAGTGTAGCTAAAGAATTTGACGCCCGGATATGGATCATTGTCTAACATCCCATCTCCTATATACAAGTTCTATTCAGTACTGATTATAAAGTTAAATGAAGAATAATGGAAATGTAAATGGCAAAATGTCCTAATATTGAACACCTACATGCAATAATACCAATAAAAAAATTCCAGTACAAAAAAGAAAAGACATGATGGTCCCTAATTACATTAGTCCTTTTTTTTTCCTAAATAAAAGGGACAAAAACATACCGTATATTGGTTTGTTCCAGTAATAGTCATATTAAAATTTCTTTTCCTTCAACTTTACTTCTGCATATTTGTGGATGAATTCATCAAAATCAATTGTCTTCACATATGTATGTTCAAAACAGAGTATAATCAGATTTGCCCATCTATCTTATATCGATCAAAGGATAGTTTTACTAATTTTAAATTTAAAATAATTTTTTTCACATTAAACAACAGACATGTAAATTTTAGGAAAGGTTTTAAACATAAAGATAAATTTGGTCGATCAAAGGATAGTTTTACTAATTTTAAATTTAAAATAATTTTTTTCACATTAAACAACAGACATGTAAATTTTAGGAAAGGTTTTAAACATAAAGATAAATTTGGTAGATATTCATAAAAATATTTTATTTTATAATAAATTCCAGAAATTGTGATTCTTTCCACGTGATTTCTTCAGGATCAATTTTAGCAACTTTTAAATATCTCTGCAATCAATACAAAAAATTCCCTAAAATATTTTCATCAGAAATTTCATCACAGGTTACTATTCTGTTTGGTAAAATCTTATATAACTGCTAAAATTTTGCAGTGTGTGAGTTCTCTTTGGGTGCAGTCTGTGTCCACAAGCCCTGTGATAATGTGTATTCATGTGTTTCAACAGTAGATTTGAGTTAAACAAGGATAGTGCAGTAATTGTAAAAATGAGAAATCAGAAGCTGAATTCTTACTCTTAAAACTAAGCCCATATATTTGAGTCTGCATGTTCAGGAGCCAAAGGTGTATCTGAAGTTGTCTGCATTAACTTCCCTCTTGAATATAGTATTTATTAAGTGGTAAGCAATAAAATGTGCTTGAGGCTTACATATACATTATTAAAAATTCATACTGACATCAGCATTTGTTAGAACTTAGACCAACAAAAGGCTTTTTTTGGTGGAGGAATGTTTTTTCACTGATACTGTTTAGAATTTCTGGTGCATGGCAATAATAAAAGCATCTACTTTGAGCTGCTTTTGCTGGCTTTCTGATTTTCTGCACTCACTGCCCCCCCCTTATTTCTTATACACGGATGGACTGCTCCCACCAACTTGCCCTTGTTATGCCCATGACCATGATGACTTGGGCTTGTCATTAGATGTTTCATTTATCTGTGTCTACACAGATGTTTTCCGTAGTTTGATGAAGGCAATTGACCCATACTGTGATAGTGATGCAACTTCATGAAATAACCTTAAAAACATTAAGTAACGTCTTGGCAACAGGAGCTTGGAAATTTGAGAGCTCCAGAGAAAGAAACAAAAGTGCTAGCTGGCGGAGATGACTGAGGTGTTTGCACCAGCCCCCTGCAAATCACCAAACAGCTAAGTGTTTCTTTTGCAGTTATAGAACAATACATACAAGGAAAGAGATCTCTTTAATTGGTAGGTTTAACCTCCTTTTACTCTGACGACTTAGACTATTAATGGGAGGAAGCTTTTGTGGCTTTAGTGTGAAATAAGATCTCTCCTATCTAACTTAGCCAGGCTCTGAAAAGGTGGGGTTGAGTGCCAACCATTGCATAATATGGATATAATAACCTCAATGTAAATTTAATAAAAATCAGGCCCTAAGGCCTTTTGATTCATTAAAGCAGCAGCAAATGTCATGGCATATTATCACAAGGTAATGAGCAATGATTTAGCGTTAATTACATTTCAATGTCCGATTTGTTTGTACTTTCTGGTACTGTATTTTGTCCTTTGGGTTATACAAAAATGTTTTAAATGCAGATGGTATTTAATTTGATGAAAATTTAAAAATCCATTGATATAATTTTTTGCCATACACTTTTTCACCAGGTTGAAGGACATATATTTTTTAAAACAAGAAGATTTTATATAAAAATTTTAAAGTACAAGACTTCATATTTTTCAAAATATTGTATTTTACTATTATTATTTAAAAGAAAAAAACAAATTGAAAGGGATCTTTCATTTCTTATTAACAGGTACACTCATCCTATGCCTTTTCTATAGATAAAATTTTCAGCCTAAGGGGTTCATAACAAGATACTTCTACAGATCAGCTACTTATAAAGGGAATGGTCTTTAAACAGAATAGATTTCTCTTCCATCTCTAAGGAGTATTTCTGTATAACTATCTGAACAGAAGCTTCCAAAGTTGATATATCCATATTGTTCAACAGGGAACAAGAAGTCTTCATGAAATTTTCAATCCATTTCCTTCTGGGTCACTTCCAACTAAAATGTGTGAGTTATGTAGCCTTGAGATTAGTCCATATTCTATGAGAAACAAGACATTTCACAGTGTCAGGTCTTAGTGGAACTGTTTCAAATGAGACTGAGGGAAAAAATGAGATATTTTGACAATGATCTCACAATGGCTGTGAGGATGGAAACATATTTTGGAGTGGGTGAGGAGGAGCAGAGGGGAATGTCTGTTGAGAGTCAGTGTGGTGTAGTAGAAAGAGCCTATTACTTAGAACCCCAGGCGGATTCAAATTTCCATCACTCTAAGTTTAATCCAGAGCATGTTCTTTACCCCCTTCATGCTTACTTATGCAAAATGGGGTTTATGATACCCATATGCCAATCAGATGTATTTGGCTACAATTAAATAAAATTTGATTTGAACTGGTGGGCACAAGGATGGGGATTCACCTGTACTGGGACATGTGACTAAGTCCAGAATTGATGAGACACTTTATTTCTGGTTGGATTCATCAGTTTCATAGTGTTATCTGGATTCAATTTATTTCTCTCCCTGCACTGACTTCTGAATACCTTCTTCAGTCTAAAGCAAGCTCTCCTTCAAGGAAGAGCTGCATTTCAGCTGATGGGTGAAACTCCTGATGTGCAACACCTGAACACCTCTGACCAATGCCTCTGGCCATGGAAGTAAAGACTGCAGAGTGGTTTTGCCAGGGCCCACCTTTACACCTGGATGGGGGTGGAGTGCGGGGGGGGGTGTCTAACTCTCTCTAAATTCTGTAAAGGAAGAAAAATAATGTCCCTCTTAACTTCTCAGTTCTTGGCTGAGACCCCTGTAATAAAATACAGAGTAACAAGAGAAAAACTAAACAGAAGTTTATTAACATGCACACGTTGTATGTACATGGGAGATGCACTGAGAAAAATAAGTAACTCAAAGAGGTGGCTTAGAACTATAGCTTATTATATAGCATGTTCAACAGAGAATAAATTTATGGAGAAATAATAGACAAAGGAAGGCAGTTTTAGGTTTCCAAGAGTAGTGATAAAGTCTAGTTAGTAAAGTTTGTTATGCAGATCCCTCTGATGCCATCTCTAGACCGTTAGGGTCTAAAGTTGTCTCAAGGGGTGCCTGGGTGGCTCAGTCAGTTAAACATTTGCCTTCAGCTCAGGTCATGATCCCCAGGTCCTGGGAGCAAGCCCCATATCTGGTTCCCTGCTCAGTGGGCAGTCTGCTTCTCCCTCTCCTTCTGCCACTTCCTCTGCTTATGCTTTCTCTCTCTTTCTCACTTCGTCTCAAATAAATAAATAAAATCTTAAAAAAATGAAGTTGTCTCCAGGCAATTAACTTTTGTCCTTCTGGTAGAGAAGGGAGGAGAGTCATCTTTGTAAATTTATGTCCTGCTTTAACAAACGGGGAGAGCCGGGAGCTTTCTATGCCTCTGCTTCTTCTCAATTGCCTTCAGCTCAAAATCGTCCTGATTTTAAAGTAGCATATTCTGGAGTGGTGTATTTTGCTAGTTTCCAAGCCCATGGAAGAAGTGAATGAGAAATGCATATTTCATATATATCTGTATATGTATTTGTTATATGATATACATATGTATATGGGGGAAAAAGAGAGAGACTTGAGTTGTGATGCTCAGCGGTATCATATCAAGAAAGTACCAAAAAAAAAAAATTACCAAATAATCCTCAGATCCTCAGAGATGATAAAGTTAATACTACTAATAATTAAATTTATACATTTATGTAATATAAAATGTAACACTAAAACTAAATTGTTTAGTGTCTACTCTGATTAGACACTGTATTACATGCTTTTCATTTATTATTCATTTTTTTTCAAACAATCCTATTGATGATCATCAAGATACTGCACTATGATTTTCATTGTTCAACTCCTAGTCCAATGTATAGATGAGGAAGGTGACCCTCAGGAGACTTAGTAACAGACCCAGAGTTACACAGCTAGTAAGAGTCAGGATCCAGGATCAATCTACCTCTTTCTTCCTTAGTGCAACTCCCTATTCTGTTTTGCAAGACTGCCTCAAAACCCAAGAATGTTAGGATTCAGAGAAAATAGAATTATTTTTCTCTGTGATTTGAAATGTAAGACATTCAGGAAGTCCTCGAAATTTTATGCAAAGTGTATGTCCTTTTTTCTAGAGTTGCCTTATCTCCAGAAATATTTAATGATGTGTCATGTAGTTCATATTTCCCTTTTTATAGATGTATGCACAGAAGATCAGAGAGGCTAAGTGACTTCTTTGTCCATAAATGGTCCCTGTGATCTGTCTCATGCCCAACATGGGGTCAGGGTGGAGGACATAGACATGAGCTTCTAGGAAGGGAGAGCATTATATAGGAGCCTCTACTCAGAAAGCCTCTCATCTTCTAAAATAACTTAGTAGACATTCTCTTGAACTTACAGCACTTTCCTCCACTTAGCACGTTCCTTCTTTGTCAATCTTGAAAGTACACTGTGAGCTCATTGGGTTTCATTCATCTGTGCATTCTCAGGGTCTAACACAAGACCTGGATTGGTAAAAACCTACTGAAGGGCTAAGTGACTCTATACTTTTGTCTTGAACCACAAGGGAGTAATGATGAGGGAAGATATTTGTCAGACAAGTGGGAGAAAGAAAGGCCAGGGGTTAATTCATGCTGGAGCTAAGGGCTGACACCGGGCTCCTGGTTTTCCCCTCCAGGGCCATTGGGTAATTCACCATCCCTCCAGCAAAGGAGAGCAGACTTTGGTTTGTGTCAGGTCCCCATCCTCAGAGTCACTAGGCAATGTTGGAAGTATCACTTATTTACTTATGTTATTATTGTTCACTTGTTTCCAGGCACCTCTATTATATACACCAGCTTTGACCCCCCAGGGGCACTGCATAGGTTTGGGGGAAGAATATTTTTTGGATAGGAAGAGTGGGTTAAAAATGAGCTCCAGAGGCACATCACATGGATTTAAATCTTGATTCTGCTCCATCTGGGTTGGAGGAGCTTGTCATCTCAGTTCTCTCAGCTGCAGTATGTTACCTGTCTCATAAGAGTATAGTGAGGCTTAAAATATTAAGGAGTTCATTCATGAAAAATGCTTTGCAGAGTGCCTGGTTTGTGGTAAGCACTCAATAAACATTAGCTCTGATTACTGCATTTTACTGATTGTCCCCCAGTTCTAGGAGGAATGGGCTGAACAAAGTATGTCTTTAATAGTAACCTAAATAAAATTAAATAGTAATAATTAAAAATTTTTAATTATTAAAATTAAAAATAAATAAATTAATAATTTAATTAAATAATTAAATAAATTAATAAAAATAAAAATAATTAAATCAATAATTAATTAAAATATTTTTCAAGGAAGTTAATGTCTTGGTATAAACAAAACAAAAAAAATCTAAAGAAAACTACAAACTTGTATTTAGTATGTGTGGTGTAACGTTTTAATGAATGAGCCTTTGGTTGAATGAGAGCTTCCTATGTACAAGCCATGGTGCCAGCTGTCCAAAAAGTGAATTGTTCATCTAGAATTTGCAGACTAGTTGGGGAGACAGACCATAAAAGATCATTGTACAACAGGGGGATAAATGTTGGAGCAGGGATAAGCCTGTACAGGAACCCTACCAAGGAGGGTGTGACAGGGGGTGGTGGGTAGATGCAGCAGTAGAGCCAGAGCCCCATAAAGATGTGCTGTCCATGTAGAACATAATATCCACAAGACCAGATTTGCAGGAAGGCTTTTAGCAAAATCTTTAACGTTTTTCCTCTCCAATTCTCACCAATCTTTACCCTTGTTTTGTAGAGAGAAATAAATTGAGGTCCCAGTTATCTCGCAGTTAATGTTTATTTGATCTCAAGAAGTGCAGAGCTGCAAGGTGGCATCTGTGGCCTGAATAAGAAACAGGAAATGGCTCAAAGGGCCAACTTCATCTTATTTAATCTTTTAATTGTTGAACCCAATTTGTTTGCCTCAGTTCTGTCTCCTTTAATGCATGGGTTTGTGAGCCAAAGCCGTGTGGCTGAGTTGGTCAGCTGTGCCACTATAGTAATAGCAATAGCTATCACTTTGAGTACATCTTATGTGCCAGGCATGGGTCTATGAACTTCATCAGGGTTAAGTCATAAACAACCTGACAGTTAGGCACTATTTTTATTCCCATTTTACAAATGAGAAAATTGAGTGGTGACAAGATCAAAAACGTGGCTCCAGGGTCCATGCTTTCAAATCCCATTTTCAGGCCTCTACTTTCCTGCCTCTCTTAATTTAGGTCAGGGCTCACCTTCACCAGAATGCAAAACAATTCAAGCTCTTAGTTACTTGAAATCCCACCTACTGTGGGCTTCTTATACAAAGGCTGGTTTTCTGTTTGGGTTTGAAGGCTGAGGAGGGAGTGGTCCAGGGTACTATTTGACCTTTGGTATTACTGATAATTCAGTTGATGACTTTGTCAAATAAATACCCATGTCCTATTTTAGGTGTAAAAGAGAGGGGGCTGCCCAAGGTGCCGAGAAGGAAGGGAAAATCTGTCATAGGAAGGCTCCAGTGACTGAAAGGGCACTGTTTTCTCATCAACATCAATTTATAATTTGCCTCTCTACGTCCTTCAGATTTAAGAAAAATTCTTATGTAATAATGGAAGATACAAAAAGACATACTCAATAGAGAAAAATGAAGAATTCTACTTTTGGAGTCAGATTCTTTGTCTTGTCTGAGAAACTGAGAAAATTATACTTCTCTGAACTTAAGTTTTCTCACCCATAAAATGGGAATAAAAATGATGCCCTTCTCATAGGGTTATTTTGAGAATTAAAATGACAGAATCTTTGGTCAGTATTTAGTATACCACTCAGCAGAATTCATTATACCTATTGTGTTCCTGCTACTTCTCTCTCTTTCTCTCTGTCCCTCAATTGGTATGTCACCACCACCAGCATCATCACCACCATCACCACCATCATCATCATCACCACCACCACCATCATCACCACCAACACCACCACTGCCCACACCACTACCACTATCATCATCATCGTCATTGGTATTATTACTCCTGACTGGCTGACCCCTGGAATGTGTGATATGCAGGTTTTTATAGAAAGGTAGAAAGAGTCATGGAAGGGGGAAGGGGGCTTATGTTTGATCCCAGGCACCACTACTTGCAGTGATATGTCCTTGAGACAAACACTTAAACTTTCTGAGTCTCCTTGAAATAGAGAAGAAAAAAAGTCATAAGAATAGCATGAATGATTATAATCACATGAATTAATGAAATAACATAGAGGAGAACCCTGGACTTTCAAGGGTATGAATCCTCTCCCTGCAGGAATGTAGCAGCCTCACCAATCTAGTATCTACAGATATCCATGAAAACACACTTGAAGCCAGAATAGACCCAGAAACCCCAGAGCTTTGCACTGATTCATGTTTATCAGATTGGCATCTATGGCCCTGGCCCCTATCCTATTTCCTGAATTCTCACCATGAGTATCAACTGGACCAAAAAAAGAGTTTGGGACTTAGTATCTAGTAATTTTCACAACTAATTGGTAATTTTAATATGCAGAGATTTCAAATGAAGACCTCCTCACCTTGTATTGACTTGTAGTTATTTATACCATTCATTCAGGGTGCGCCTGTGATCTCAGTGCACTGACTGACACCTCCCCTCATCTTCCTACCCATTTCCCTTTTTGGTTTCAGCTCCATCTGAGATCACTTTTGCCATTGATGTTGGGAATGGCCCCGTAGAGCTCATAGTTCACTCTCCTTCTCTTCTGAATGACAACCAATGGCATTACGTCCGGGCTGAGAGGAACCTCAAGGAGACTTCACTCCAGGTGGACAGCCTCCCAAGGATGACCAGGGAGACTTCGGAGGAAGGCCATTTCCGATTGCAGCTGAACAGCCAGTTGTTTGTAGGTAAGGGACATTTTGAGTCCCCTCTGTACTAACACCCTACAACACTTCTGTGTGGCCAGGCCCAGGGAAAATTACAATTTTGTTTCAGACCTGAGGGATGGTTAAAATATGTCGTAAAGCATTTATAACTATAGATTTCATTTTACAAATTCTTCCATTCTAGCTTCATTAGCCGTAGCACTAAGAGATTATGCCACCTCTTAGAAATTCTGAGGTGGTCTCAGACTCTTTGTCTCTTTTCTCCCTGTACATATTATCTTCAGATGTCCAAAGACCCTTATTATTTTTCATTCTTATAGCCAAAATCTACCTGTAGAAAAATAATATATCAGCTATTTACACCTTAGTAGGTGTTGCCTCTGAGTCAGTGAGCCACACATCACACCCTTCCTAGTGATACCTGATTCCTGATAATTATTGATAACTGTACAATAAAATACGTTACAGAATTTCAAAGGGATATGTCACCAGTCATATGGTGGGAGAAGGCACTACTGTTTTCCACAGGCTTCTTTGATGCTCCCTGAAATCATATCATTTGAGCAGCTTCCTTACATTTGCACAAAAAAGCAGGCCTGGTTCCCCGGGCTCACATCCCTTCATTAGGAAGTTCCTCCTGAGACTCAGAATCAGCCCTTTAGACAAGTTGTTCTGAACTGACTGCCGGTGCTTATAGTGGGGACCAGAAAGTTTCAAATATCACTTACTGAGTCCATTCATTCATTCCATAAATAGTCACGAAGCACTGAAAACAAGTCAGGGACCTTGTTGGATGATGGGAATTGAAAGATAAATTGTGCAATGACAATACTTTTCAAAGAGCTGTGTGTGCCTGTGTGTGTGTGTAAAAAGAGAGATGGAGAAACAGCAATAGAGAGGAAGAGAATTTAGCCACATAAGTCTAAGGTAGGAAAGGTCAGCCTCAGAGCTATAAATTAGAAAGGATTTTTTGCAAGTAGGTTGAGCAGGGCTTGTAAATCCTTAAGGTACAAATTATAGCTGTAAATATTAGGGCCATTGTAATATCATCAAAGCTAAGAAGCTGTTCTTATATAAAACTTGAAGTTCAGTTGTTTAGAACAGTGATATAAGTAAGGTCCAAAATTTTCCAGTCAACCCAGATTCAATTTTTTCTCCTTATTTATTTATTTAGCCAACTCTCACTACAGAGCTTTACTACTAGTAATGAAATGCCGTAAGTAATCAATGGGGGTTTCTTACAAATTTTCTTTAAATTGATTTTGTGCATCTTTTAACTCTGACAAAAGCAGTCCTAAAAGCATACCAGCTAAAAGAAAAAAAAAGTAACAGAATATGTTATATTTTGTCTTCTCAAGAGGAATCATATTTCTTTCTTCATCTGTCATGTTTTACCCATCTAGCAGAAACTATAAGTGATTAAAAGCATTTTTATGATTATAAGGCATTTACTTAATTAATAACCTTCATGAGTGATATGATTTACTCTTAAAATATTTTTGAAAATTTATATTGCTGTTTTAACTCTACTTAAACATCACATTTCATTTCTCTGAAGAAGTTTGCTAGTCATCAAGATTTAATGTCTTTTTTGGTGAAATCAATTCAAGTAGTTTGTAATTTTCATAAATTATATTCCATGCCAAAGTTTAATTTATCTTCAGGCAGGATTTATGAATCTTTCTGGCAGAAAGGTGTATATAAGATGGAATAATATTTTTTATCCTTTCATGCAAATTTCATTTCGTTATGAAATTATCATATGGCCTGAACATGTGATAAACTTTGTGCAAGTCAGAAGGGAAACGTCGCGGCTGTGTATTATGGCAGGTTTTTTTCTCCAGACATTTCAGTTAAATTGATCACAAGTGCAGGGAGTTGTAGGAGCATGTCGATGGGTCTGGAGGACATACACTGCTTGAGCTGGAGCCAAGGTCAGCTGTGGGGAGAGCACCTGCTTCTGTTATGTTTCCCTCCAGTAAGTTCCATCTCAGATGTTACTCTGCTTTATTGAATTTGTCTTAATGTACTTGAAGAAGAAAAAAACATGCTGTTGGAGGTCATTTTAGTCTGTTGGTTTGAATTCTGTTGTTTAGTGTTCAGCAATATGCCCATTTAGACATGTCAGGTGGCTAAAATTGCTGAAGTCCCAGTATTCCCATTTTGTACCATTCAATGGTCCAAAACCAAAACCAAAACCAAAAAAAAAAAAACAAAATGAAAAACAAAACCCTTTACTTAGCTTTAGCAGCCAAAATGAAGAATTATATTCTCTATCATTCAGAAATTCAGAGACACTGGATATTTATATTTGCTAGGCAGGAAAAGATCTGATGGGTGTGTACTTCTTCCCAGGGATAGATTGAAGGTAGCAGTATTTAAATATTCATTTGGATATGCCTATCTGGATACCTTTAGCCATTAAAGTTCTTTCCGTCAAAACAGCATCATTCAGCATTGTAATCACTAGTGTTGATGTGTGCTCATGAGTGCTTCCTGAGTACCAGAAACAGGTTGAATTTTATAGAACAGGATGTAACTCTGCACACTGCCCCTGTCATTGAAATGTGACAAGTTGAAGTGTTCATATATGAGTCAATGGATGCTGGATTCCCAGAATCAATATTTTTATTTTCAGACTTTTATCACCATGATAGGTAGGGACATTTGCAACCATGCCATCCTACTGTCACATGTCACACAATTTTTTTTTATCAGAGTAGGAGAAACTTCATAACACATAGAATATGAAATGTATGCTGCAAGCATGTAATTGTCTCATCATTGAAACTCTTGGAAGTATTACCCCTCTGGTTTTCTGTTCCTCACAAATGTGCCAGTCAGTGTGCAGATGAGGCAAGAAGAATCCAAGAACTAGCACCCACTGCTGAAAGTGAAATGGAGAGATGTGGGTGTGTAACCCATGTCAAGAGCAAACAGACCACAAGACATTGGTTAAAAAACACCTAGCCCCTGTGCACCCATTGTATTTATCTGCAAAATGTAAAAGAAGAGTCTGGTAACTGATCTCGCAGGATCCAAAGATCGACAACCTCCACGTTTACGTTAGGAGTGACAATCATTCTTATCCCCATTCTCCCCAAATCTGAATTGCATCTTTCCAAATTTGCTGCAATTATAGATATTTTATAAAGATATGGGTCTGCGAGTCTCATTTTTTTACTACTTTCTTCTTCTTAATTTTTTGGTCTTTCATGTGCTTGTGTTTTGTTTGTTGGTTTTCGTTGTTGTTTTTGGCTTAGCTGTTTACTTGTGTCAAAGTAAACTGAAGTTGCTCCCATTTTACAGCTCCTTGGGGAAAATACTACACTATGAAAGAGAACAATATGATTCTTGATAAATCATAAAGTTCGAAGAGATCCCTAAAGATGCTACTCCTGCTTCCATGCTGGTAGGGTAAAATTATTCCTATTTTCAGGTGAAGCATGCTAAACTTCTCCCAGTCAGTGGTGAAGCCAGTCAGGGAGAGTGCACACACAGTAGCTTTGTGTTCTGGAACTGCATAAACAGGTGCTCTGTGGCAAAATGCAGCCACACACGTGAGCTGCCAGAGAATCTATATGTGACTAGTCACTTACATTTATCCTTGTGACATAACTCAGGAGAATGGCTTTCCTCATGCAGGCCAGTAGAGTTTTCTATTTGAGAGGATATAATGTGTCTCAAAGCGCAGGAGGACGTATGTATCCTTTTCACATTAAAAAGTAACGGAAAAATTACCTTTCAGCATATTTATTACATAAGCCATAGTGCGTAGAAGATGTTACTTAACATTACATCAGTGGTGAAACCAAAAGTAAAGGAAGCATTGTCTTTTCAACATCATATAAATTAACCAAAAATGTTTATTTTTTCAAAGGTAAGTCATACATCAAGTATACTTGAATTATTTTTCTTAGTAAAAAAATTGAATATGCAATTTCTGATATTCCCCATTAATAGTTAAAAATAAGAAATTGTTGTGATGAGTTTAAGAAGTTGATAAGAGACCTCATAACGCCAGCAGGGCAAGTCCCAGAAATGCTGTGCTTTGTTGCTATGGGTCAAGTACCTAGAGGAGCACCCAGTGTCCACTCAATAAAAAAATTCTATGATAAAAAAAAAGAGCAGAAAACAAGATGAAACAGACAAACAAAAAACAGTGATGCAGAACTACCTGCTTTTACCCCATGCATTTTCCTTCCCCAAAACCACTGTTCCACCAAATCACATTCTTATAACTTGAAAGTGTTTTGAAAGAACATTGGTTCTATTTTTATATTTGGAAAAGTGAATGATTAAATCACCCCCTCCTGCAAAATTTTGTCTCTTCAAGATGTTCAGACTTGAAGGCATTTAACCCATTCCAATAGCCCATTTTTAGTGTTTTCTGCCCCCCAATACTCCAGAAACTTTTATGAAATGTTTATCTGCAGCCCTTTCTGCTTTAAATGAAGCTCATTTCATCATATGTTGGTCTTCATTGGATTGATAATGGGTAATTGAAGGAGAATGTAAAGTTTTCTTGTTTGGTTTGATTGATTGATTGCCATTGATAAAACATATTACAAGTCATACTGTCTTTTTTAAAGGAGGGTGCAGTATGGCATATGGCATCATTTTCTTCAGCAAACCCAGGGAAAGAAGCCCTGAGATTTAGACTACACAAAAACCAATGTTAGAGCAGTTGTTCTGATTCCTCTGGCACTGGCAGCCATCAAAATTTATAACTCGGTAAAAAAAAGAAAAAAATAGGGCAGTGTCATTTACGTGGAGCTGGGGTGATAATCATAAAAAAAAGAAAGTAAATCCAGACCATTATGGGAAAATAAAATCAGTGCTCCCTGGATGTTCAAGGACCTGATCTAAGGGACAGAAGGGAGGTGAGAAGTTGTTTATGTGTTTTTCCAAAGCCAAGATGCCATTGAGCATTAACAATCAGGGAAAATCTGGGTCAGATAAAAGCAGACCCAGCAATGCATGCGGATGCTGGGACTCTACCTGCAGCCTAGTGAGCCTGT